ACGCCGTGGCCACGGCGCCGACGATCACCGCGCTGTGCGACCACAAGGCACGGCTGCTGGCGGTGTCGCCCAGCGTGGCCGAGGCCTTCGACATCCAGATCCTGCCCGGCACCCGGACGAAGCTGGACATGGAGCGGATCTCGCCGGGCGGCCACCAGGTGTTCCGCGCCGCGCGCGACGGCGGCCTCTTCGAGGGGCTGATCGCCTCGATCTCCTTTCGCTGCCTGGCCCATGCGCGCGACGGCGTGAAGGTATGCGACGAGCTCTGGTACCCGTTGCGCCTGCACGACGGAGAGGTGGTGGTGCGCGCCGACGCGATCCTGCGCGGACCGACCGGCGAGGCCGAGATTCTCGCCCTGGAGGCGCCGCCGCAGCCGCAGATCACCTGGATGGAGGATCTGCTGCACGAGGATCCGCCGCCGCCGCCGGGGGCGCAGAGGCCGGCCGGCCAGGACAGCGCGTGAGCCGCGCCGGCGGGCGCGGGCGGAGCCGCCTCAGACCGCCACGCTGTGGCGGTTGTGCGCCGGGTCCAGATAGGCGTCGAACAGCGCCGCCACGCAGCGCAGGAAGGGGCGGCCGCGCTCGGTGACCGCGATGCGCCCGGCGTGGCAATGCAGCAGCCCGTCGGCCTCCATCTCCGCCAGCGCCGGCGCCGCGGCCGCCAGCAGGTCGGCCGGCGGCGTCACCGCCAGGTCGCACATCAGCCGCTCGATCAGGCCGGCGCGCCGCTTGTCCTCGGCACTCAGCGCCACCCCCTTGGCGGTGGCCAGGCTGTCGGCCTCGATCGCCGCGGCGTAGGCGTGGATCGGCGTGTGGTTCTGCACCAGCCCCTGGGGCAACTGGCCGATCGCCGAGGCGCCGAGCCCGATCAGCGCCTCGGCCTGGTCGGCGGTGTAGCCCTGGAAGTTGCGCCGCAGCCGCCCCTCGGCCTGCAGCCGCGCCATGGCGTCGTCGGGCCGCGCGAAGTGGTCGAGCCCGATGCGCCGGTAGCCCGCGGCGACCAGCCGCTCGGCCGCCGCCTCGGCCATCTCGAAGCGCTCGCTCGGCCCCGCCAGCGCCGCCTCGGGGATGAGGCGCATGTGCCGCTTCATCTGCGGCACGTGGGCGTAGCCGAACAGCGCGAAGCGCGCCGGCTCCAGCGCGATCATCGCCTCGACGCTGCGCAGCAGGCGCGCGCGGTCCTGGTAGGGCAGGCCGTAGACCAGGTCGATGTTGAGCGCGCCGACCCCGGCCGCGCGCAGCCGCGCCACCGCATCGCGGGTGCAGTCCAGCGGCTGGATGCGGTTGATCGCCGTCTGCACCTGGGGGTCGATGTCCTGCACGCCCAGGCTGGCCCGGGTCACGCCGACCGCGCCCAGAGCGGCCACCTGGTCGTCGCGCAGGTCGCGCGGATCGATCTCGACGGCGAACTCGGCGTCGGGCGTCAGGGGGAAGGCGTCGCGCAGCGCGCCGCCCAGCGCGCGGATGTGCTCGGCCGCCAGCAGGGTCGGCGAGCCGCCGCCCCAGTGCAGATGGCTGGTGCGGTGCCCCGCCGGCAGCCGCGCGGCGACCAGCGCGATCTCGCGCAGCAGCTTGGGCAGGTAGGCGGCGACCGGATCGTAGCGCTGCACGATCTTGGTGTTGCAGCCGCAGAACCAGCAGAGCGTGTCGCAGAAGGGAATGTGGACGTAGACCGAGAGCTCGGCCCCGGCGCTCAGCCCGGCCAGCCAGCCGGCGTAGGTCGCGCCGGTGACCCCGGCGTGGAAATGCGGCGCGGTGGGGTAGCTGGTGTAGCGCGGCACCATGCGGGCGTACTTCGCCACCAAGCTTTCGTAGCGCCCCGTCTGCGCGACCTGCGGCGCGGCGGCGGCGGCAGTGCCAGTGTCGGCGCCAGTGCCAGTGCCGGTGCCGGTGCCGGAGCCGCTGGACGCGGTGTCGCTGGACGCGGTGTCGCTGGACGCGGTGTCGGTGGACGCGGTGTCGGTCATGACGCCAGACTTACCCGCCCCGCGCGCAGGCGCCTTGATGTGCCTCAAGCCACGCGCGGGCCTTCACGCCGAAGACGCCGCCGGCGGCCCCACCCTCTCCATTCCGAGCTTGTTAACTGGGGAGCGTCGCTCTGCCGTCTATCCGGACGCCCTTTGCGAGACCTTGGCCCAGGCAAGGCGCGCCACTCACCTGCTGTCTGCGAAAAGTTGTCTACTCGCCCACTGCTCATGATCTTTGGCTTGCTGCAACAGCCACTCGCGAACGGCCTTTGCAGGCGGCCGGATCGGCGAACGATTTCCGATAGAAAGATAAAATGCGTTTCGACCTGGCACGTTCAGGCCGAAGGGACGAACAAGTCGCCCGTCTCTCAGCCTGTCAGCAGCGGTGACGTCATCGCCGACAGCGACGCCTAGCCCGCGAGCGGCCGCGTCGAGACAAAGGTAGGTTCGGTGGAATATCAAGTGACCGGCTGCCGAGGACATCGTCAGCCCCATGCGCTGGAGCAGCTCATTCCACCCTCCCATGCCTCGGTCATGGATCAATTTCTGGTTCAACAGCCCATTATCTTGAATGTCCGCGGCAACTTCCGGTGCGCAAACAGGAAAAGCCGAAAAACCCAACAGAAGCTCCCTTGAGTACCCCGGCACGTCGAGAGCCCCCCAGGTGATGGCCAGATCTGTGTGTGGCGCGATTGTTCGTGGCGGCTCTGGATAACTGCGGAGTTCAATGTCGATCTCCAGCGCGTCTAATGCTGCCCGCTTCATCCGCGGCATCAGCCAAAGCAACGCCAGATCGGAGTCCACTTCGAGCACCACTTTCCCCCTGGCGTCCTGCACGGCCTTTGCGCCCGTTTCCAGCGAAATCAGCGCGAGCGCCTCGGCGACGATCCCGGCATAGCGCACACCGGCAGGCGTCAACGCCACCTGTCTGTGGCGACGTTCGAATAGTTGTAGCCCCAGATCGTCTTCCAGCGTTTTTACGTAGCGACTCACCGAGCCGTGGGTGACGCCGAGCTCCTCGGCGGCACGGGTGAAGCTTTGGTGGCGGGCCGCTGCGTCGAACGCCCGGACAGCGTTCAGGTTGGGGAGAAGCCGAGACATAGCCTTACGTTACTTATTTTCACACTACGCGGCAAATAAGTTATGTTGAGTGCATTAATGTGGGGCAATATTTTGCGATTAAGCTCGATGGCTCATAAAGAGATCGTCTTCTCCGGCCGATCAACGCGCCATCCGGCTGCCCCGATTTCAGGCAGACTGGCAGAAATTGAGATGTCGCATTACACGATATGGACACGGTCCACGCCCGAACTTCAGAAACTAGCCCGCAAGGCAAACCGCGAACGATCAAAAACGCTTAAGCGTTGGCTGCGACGGCTTGTGCGAATGGTCACGTCCCATCAAGAGGTGTAGCTCGGTGCAGCGCCCTCGATGTGGTCCGTGCCCCCGCGAAGGGGCGACGGTCCGGGCCCGAGGAGCCAGGATGCGAGGAGGCGTTTCTACCCGCGCCCCCGCGAAGGGGGCGACGCTGACCCGCGATCGCCCGGATCGCAACGGCCGAAAAGTTTCTACCCGCGCCCCCGCGAAGGGGGCGACGCGGCTTCGCCCCCGACCCCTACGCCCCGCGAGAGTTTCTACCCGCGCCCCCGCGAAGGGGGCGACCATGAGTCAGCTCCTTTAGGCGCCGTCGTAAGAGTTTCTACCCGCGCCCCCGCGAAGGGGGCGACGATCGACGCCGGCGCCCGCGTCCCATCCACGCAGGTTTCTACCCGCGCCCCCGCGAAGGGGGCGACGGTATGCCTCGGCCGCCGTCATGCGCGGTTCGTGTTTCTACCCGCGCCCCCGCGAAGGGGGCGACGCAAGGCCGCCTGCTGGACGTGGCCTTCGACCCCGTTTCTACCCGCGCCCCCGCGAAGGGGGCGACCAAGCACTTCCCCGAGCGCTTCGAGGATCTGGTGTTTCTACCCGCGCCCCCGCGAAGGGGGCGACGCAGGCCCGCGACAGCGCCCGCGATCTCCACGCGGTTTCTACCCGCGCCCCCGCGAAGGGGGCGACCCAGCAGCAGCGCCAGGCGCTCTTCTGGCTGGTCGAGTTTCTACCCGCGCCCCCGCGAAGGGGGCGACGTGGTGGACCGTGAGCGTCGCGCACCCGCAGGCGTTTCTACCCGCGCCCCCGCGAAGGGGGCGACTCGGGATCGCAGGCACCGATCGCGTGTGCCAGGTCGTTTCTACCCGCGCCCCCGCGAAGGGGGCGACGTGAAATAGCGGAGGATGTGAGACCAACCCTATGTTTCTACCCGCGCCCCCGCGAAGGGGGCGACCCGGCCTTGCCCAAAAAGAAACCGCCGCAGAAGTGTTTCTACCCGCGCCCCCGCGAAGGGGGCGACGCGCCTGTAGCGCAGCCCCAGGCAGCGGCAGACGTTTCTACCCGCGCCCCCGCGAAGGGGGCGACCGCGGAGCGTTTTTGCGACGAAGTGCCAAGCGAGTTTCTACCCGCGCCCCCGCGAAGGGGGCGACGGCACGGGGCGCCCGTCGCGGAGCGTTTTTGCAGTGTTTCTACCCGCGCCCCCGCGAAGGGGGCGACGCCGCCTGGGCCGCCGCCAGGGCCGCCCAAAACGTTTCTACCCGCGCCCCCGCGAAGGGGGCGACTGCGAAAGGAGTACATCGCTATGCCCCACATCAAGTTTCTACCCGCGCCCCCGCGAAGGGGGCGACTCCGGATCGCCGAGACCGACATCGCCAATTTCGAGGTTTCTACCCGCGCCCCCGCGAAGGGGGCGACCCAGGAACTGCTGCTGCAGCGCGCGGGCCGACGCGTTTCTACCCGCGCCCCCGCGAAGGGGGCGACTCTTGCTTTCTAGTGGCTTCGAGGCGTTGGGAAAACATGACCGTGAGCGCGATCCTCTGGAGAAATCGACCGGGCGGCTTGAGGGCGAAGGAAAGACAGATCGAAAACCCAACGTTCCTGGGGTCTTGAGACGTTGCTCGAACCTCCCGGCTTCGCCCCGCCAGCTCGGGGTTCGCGCCGGCGGCATCACACGATCAGCGGCCCGCCGAGATCGGCAGCGGGCTTCGCGCCGACGTGCTCCACCCGTCGCGCGCCGTTGGCACCGAGATGGTAGTAGCGCAGGCTGTCCTGCTCGGTGTCGATGAGGCTCTCGAGCCGCGCTTTCAGGGCGGTCCACTGGGCCGGCTCCACCTCGATCTCAAACACGGACAACTGGACACGCTGCCCGAAATCCTGGCAAGCGCGCGCGACACGACGCAGGCGACCGCCACCACCCGGGCTGCTCGTGGCGACATCGTAGGTAACGAGGACCATCATCTCGATGCTCTCCTACTTCCAGATCCAGGGCGGATAGGCGTCCAAGTCGCCGCGCAGGTGCCGCGCGAGAAGCTGGGCCTGCAAATAGGGAACGAGGCCCAAGGGAGCCGTCTCGCCGATGAAGGCATGTCGCCGCTCGTCGCGCTTGCGCTCCTGCCAGGACGTCAGCACCAGCTTGCGGGCGTCATCCGTCAGGAGCACGGCGCCGCCGTCGGTGAACCGGAAATCGCGGCCCCGAAGCTGACGGCGGTTGAGCAGCGACAGCGCGAGCCGGTCGGCGAGCACCGGCCGAAGCTCCTCCATCAGGTCGAGCGCCAGGCTCGGTCGGCCGGGTCTGTCACGATGGAGAAAGCCGACGGCGGGATCCAGCCCGACGCTCTCGCACGCCGCCCGGCAGTCGTGCACGAGCAAGGTGTAGAGGAACGAGAGCAGGGCGTTCACCGAATCGCGCGGCGGTCGGCGGCTTCGCCCCTTGAAGAAGACTTGCTCGTCGGGCGAGCGGACCAGCCGGTCGAAAACGGAGAAGTAGACCCGGCTCGATTCCCCTTCGAGCCCGCGCAGGACATCGAGGGGCCGATCGGGCTTTTCCAGCCGGCGCAGAACATCGGCCAGGCGCGCCGACGCGGCCTCGATCGCTGCGATGTCATCGGGCGCGGCGCTGTCGGCGTGGTCGCGCAGACTGCGCATCAGAACGGCGCGCTGGTTGGCGACCTTCCCGGCCAGCAGGCCGAGGGCGATGTCGGCCGCCGCCTCGTCGCTGGCCCGATACTGGGCCCTTCGCAGCAGGACGTTGCCGCTCACGGGTCCCTCGACGCGGGCCTGAAAACGGCCGTTGCGGTCCAGGAACACGATCGCGATGCCGCCTGCCGAGCCGGCCTGCATCAGGGCCGGTGAGGTCCAGACACCACCGAAGACCACGATGCTCCCCAGCAGATGCAGGGGAACCCGTCGCGCCTCGACCCCGTCCAGCTCCACGACGGCGTTCTCGCCATCCTTCCTGAGGCGCGCCCCTGGGGTCGTGACGTAGAGGGTGTTGAGAAGCTTCTTCAGGAGCCGTCCTCCCCGTCTTCGGCGGCGGCCGCGGCGATCGCCCGCGTGCGAAAGGCGCGCGCCGAGCGACCGCCGAGGCGCGGCCGGCACACCTCGATCAGAGAGCAGGCCCGGCACTTGCGCGCCTCGTAGACCGGCGGCGGCAAACGACCGACCGCCAGCAGCCGATGCACGCTCGCCGCCGTCTCCCAGGTTAGGCTGCGCAAATCGTCGTCGAAGGGGACCACGACGCGACGGCGCGTCTCGCCGTAGAACAGCGCGCCTTCCGGCACCGTTCGGCCCGTCATCTCCTCGAGGCAGATCGCCTGGGCGCAAAGCTGCACCTCGTCGGCGCGGTGAAGTTTCGGCCGACCACGCTTGTACTCCACCGGATAGGGCGTCTCCGCCGCAGAGTCGCCGTCCGCCACGGCGTGGAACTCCACCACGTCCGCCACGCCGGTGAGCCCAAGACGGCGGCTGGACAGCGCGAGGCCGGTGACGACGCGTACGCCACGGCGCCGCCGACTGGCCTGCCGATCCGTCGCGGCGTGCAGCACGCGCCCCTCGGCCGTCAGCCGGTTCTCCTCCCAAGCGCGCTCGACGTGGATCAGCGCACACTGACGCGGACAGTAGATCGCGTGCTGGAGCGCGGAGAGAGGGACCGGCTCGGCCTCGGCCTCGGCGTCGGCCGGCCGGCTCGGATCGCGGCCCATGGCGCGTCACACCATCTCGCGTATCTCCACGCCGGCCGGCAAATCCGCGCGGTCGAGCGTCACCTCGTAGTCCTCGAAGCGGCGCGGCGCCTCTCCCGCGCCGTTGCGGCGCGCGACCCGGACGCGATCGAACAGGTCGTGGGCGTGAGCCTTGCCGAGCGCGCTGTCGTGCCGGAAGACGACGAGCTTTCGCGTGGTCATCTCGCCGCGCGCCGCGGAGCGATCGTGCTCGAACATCTGCTCCAGGGTCTCCCAGAGGAAGTCCAGATCGGCCTCGGAAAAGCCCGTTCGCTCGGCCAGCTTGGCCGAGACGAAGCCGTGCGCGCGATAGAGGCCGTAGGGCACGATGTGCTTGCGCCCCATGGTGCGGTTGTCGTGGCGCTCCTCGTCGGCGCCCTCCTCGCGCGCCGCCTTCTCCTTCTCGTTGGTCGCGGCCATGCGCGTGATCGATATCTCCTGCGGCACGATCGGATCGATGGAGCGCGCGAAGGTGAGCTGGACCGGCCCGCGGACCTGGCCGCAGTTGATGCCGGTGCTCATCACCGCGCCGAAGGTGCGCACGTCGTAGAAGTTGCCGCACATGAACGCCTGCAGGGCCCGGGCCTCCTCGTCGCCCTTGGGGTTCAGCTTGGCGGCCGTCTTCGCCTTCTCGTCCTCGGGGCGCAGCGCGACGTAGGCCTCGCGATGCCGGTCGTTGAGCACCGAGCTCTCCTGGACGTAGATGCGAAATCCGGGCTCGCTCCCCTTGGCCAGCTCCGTGTAGTTGCGCACCTTGCGCTTCAGGCTGACATCCGAGACGAGGCCGTGCTGCGTCTCCTGGTCGATGCGCGGGAGGTTGCCGGCGTCTGGGTCGCCGTTCGGGTTGCCGTTGGCGACGTCGAACAGCAGGACGAATTCGTATCGGTTGGCGAGGGTCGTCATTGATTGGCCTCCTCGGTCGCGGCGTCTGAGGACGTGTGAGCAAAGCGCTGATTGCGCTCGTGGTAGTAGCCGAGCGCGAAGAGCGCCTGTTGGGCGGGTGGCAGCGCGCGGGGAAAGGGATCGGCGTCGGGGTCGAGCCGCTCCATGATCGCGCCGATCTGCTTTTCGATGTTGACGGCCTGGCCGGGTCGCTCCTTTCGCAAGCGCGCGAGGTGAGGCTGCGAGCCCCGGTCGAGCAGCGGAAAGACACTCTGGGGTGTGCTTGACGCGGCACCGTAGAACTTGTCCTTGACGGTCGCGTTGACGCTTCTCCCGAGCGCGGCTTGTTGCGCGTATTCGTAGGTGGCGAAGAGGCGGCCCAGCAGATAGCCGGGCTCCCTGCACTCCGGATCGTAGGTCACGGGCGGCTCCTTGGTGGTGGGCGAGGTCTCCAATCGGCGGTCCCGGGCGACGGCGGCCTTGAGCAGCGCGACGCGCAGGGCGGTGATCTCGCCGTCGGCGCGCAGGCGCATGAGCAGCGTGGCGCGCAGGCTCGCGGGATAGCGCCCGCCCGTCAGGATGGCGCGGAGCAGCTCGCCGCCGAGCTGCGGCGGGATGTTTTCCGCCTTGCGCCGCGCCGCCGTCTCGAAAGCCAGTCGCTGCACCGTCGGCAGGCGCTCCCTGGGCGGCGGCTCGAGCGCCATGTCGCGGGCGTGCAAGGCGTAGAGGTCCGCGAAGCGCCCAAAGTCGCCCTCGAACCAGAAGCGCACCGAGAGCCGGGCCGCGTTGGGAGCGAGGCCGAGAAGGTAGAAACGCACCCCCGCCGCGAGCTTCGGGTCGAGATCGGTCAGCGGCCGTCCCTGCGCGATACCCTCCAAGACCGGCCGCAGCTTGCCGGCCTGCAGCGACTCGTCGGCCCGCCCGCCCAGCAACGCCCCGAAGATCGTCTCGGCACTCTCGGCCTTCTCCGCCTCCTCGGCCTCGGCCCAGAAAACGCTGGAGGCGTCGCCGATCTGCACGCGGTGCCGGCTGTCCTTCGCCAGGAGGCGGTTCAGCGCTGTCGCATAGGCGAAAGCCGCGCGCTCGCTGACCGGCGCGTTAGCCCCCTGCTCATGGCCGTAGGATTCGAAGGCGTCGCAGTTGAAGGAGAGGAAAGGGGCACCCGACGATTGGGCGCCCCAGACACCCTTGACCGCCGGGTGGAGACGGGCGAACGGCGCCCGCGCGCCGCTGACGAGGCATACCGCCTTCGGCGCACCGCCATCGGCGAGGCGCCGTGCCCAAATCGCCTTGGCCGCCGGCCGGTCGTGGAGATAGCCGCGCTCCTCCGCGAACCGGAAGACGACGTTGGCGTCACGCATCTCGCTCGGGAACAGCGGCTCCGCAAACGCCTCCGGATGCCAGCGATCGAGAAAGGCGAGCAGCGCGGCGAGGCCGGGATCTTCCTCGTCGGCCAGCGCCTCTCGGTGCAGGGCCTTGAAGGCCTCGTGCTCCCGCGCCGTCCGCTTTCCCTCGCCGGCCGTCACGCCCAGCGCGTATGACGTCTTGTCCCAGAGGAAATTCGCGGCGACCGCAGAGGTGCGCTTGACGGGGCTGGGAACGGGAAGACTCCGCCCGCGGCTCCGCTTGGTCGTATCGTCGGCCAGGGAGACAACACCGGTCGGCACGCCGCTTCGGTCGATCACGACGCACCAGCCGATCGTCTCGAGCGAGTACCCGAAAGGCGGCGCCTCGCCCTGCTTGGCCAGCCGCTCGTAGTGACGGGCCAGGGCCGCCAGCATCGTCATCTCAACACCTCCGGCGAGTCCGGATGCGGCACCTCGATGACGCCCTGGCGCATCTCCGCACGGAAGAACAAGGAGCTCCGGTCGCCGTCGTGGTCGATGTCGTAGAGCATCAGGCCGAGCGAGCGGTCCTCCGGGATCGCCGCGGGCAAGGGCTCGTCCGGCTCGACGAGGCGGAAGCGCGCATCGAACTCGCGGGCACCGAGGCAGGGCCGGTGGAAGCACTGGCCTTTGCGCGCGCGTCTGTTGAAGCTGTCGAGGTGCTTGCCGGGGTTGTCGTCCGGCCCCGCCCGCGCCGTCATCGCGAACTCGGCCTCGATGACGTAGTCGACATCGACCAGCACGCTCGCGGCGCGCTGCTGACGATGCGCGTCGGCAACGAGACCGAGGCCCGCCGTCGTCCCCGCCTTCATGGCGCGCCTGATCACCGGCACCGAGGCCTTCTGCCCCACCTCGTTGCGGCGGATCGAGGTGAAGCGGATCGGCTTCAGGACGTGAATGCGCCGCACGATCCAGCGGATCGCCGGCTTCCAATGGATAGCCTCGATGATGCCGCGCGCGGCCGAGGGCGTGATGACGTCGTAGGAGACGCGCTCCACCTTCAACTCGGGCCGCGAAAAGCAGGCGAAGTCGCCGCCCACTCGCAGTTTCACGCCATAGGTCATAGCCTGTGTCCCCCCTAAACGACCGCCGCGTTGGTCCGCAGCTCGCCCGCCTCCTCCCAGACGAGGCCCGTGTCCTCGCCGTAGAGCGCCTCGTCCTCCAGCACCGCGAACTGCTCGCCGAGGCTGGCGGCGGCGGCGTAACGGACCTGGCCGTGGCGAACCAGCTCGTCGCGCGCCTTCGGCGGTATCTGCACCAGATAGGGCTGCAGCCTGCGGGCCAGCCCGCCGATCTTGTCGGCATGGGCCAGGGCCGCCACCGCGTCCGCGCTCTGCCGGTCCCGGCGGACGACGACCGGCGCCATGCCCTTCTCGATCAGTCGAAACCGCTCGGCGGCGCTGCGGTAGGCCATGTCGGTCTCGCGCGCATCGACCTTGAAGTGCTCCAGGATAGCGTGGCGATCGAGCTGCTCGGGCCCGACGCGCCAATAGACCTCGAGGAAGTAGTCGCGGATGGCCGCCAGGTCGGCGAGGTCGTCGTAGCACTCGGCGACTCGCGCCATGTCGCCGGCGAGAGCGGCGATCTCTCGCGGCGCGGCGTGCTCGGCCTCGGCCGGGCGGAACAGCGTCACCACGCTCTCCGCGACGGCCCGACGCCCTTCGCGATTGCAGCGCCCCGCCGCTTGCATCACCGAGTCGAGCCCCGCCTCGGCCCGCCAGACCCGGGGGAAATCCAGGTCGACGCCGGCCTCGATCAGCGACGTAGCGACGACCCGGCAGGGCCGATGCCCCGCAAGCGCGTCACGAACGCCCGCGAGAACCTGGCGCCGGTGGGCCGCGACCATGCGGGTCGTCAGATGCACGAGCCCGCCGAGATCGGCGTCTCGCGCCCTTCGATAGAGCGCCAAGGCGTGGGCGCGGCTGTTGACGATCACCAGTCCCTGTCGCGTATCGGCCAGAGCCTCGACGAGATCGTCATCGCTCAACGCTCCGGCGCGGCGAAAGGTGACGCGGGCGAAGCGGCGCTGAAGCGTTGGCGGGTCGGGCGCCAGCTCGCGGACATTCGCGAGCCCGCCCGCGAAATCGGGGGCGTTGAGCGCCGGCTGGGTCGCGGTGCAGAGCACCACGGAGCTGCGGTAGTTGCGGGCCAGCTCGTCAACGGTCGCGACGCAGGGCCGGAGCACCGGCCGCGGGATGGTCTGCGCCTCGTCGAGCACGAGGACGCTGCGCGCCAGGTTGTGCAGCTTGCGGCAGCGTCCGGGCCTGTTGGCGAAGAGGCTCTCGAACACCTGAACGTTGGTTGTCACGACGATCGGCGCAGCCCAATCCTCCATCGCGAGCTTGAGCTTGGCCGCCCCGCTTCGCTCGTCGCCGGCGGGCGGGTCCTGCCGCTCGATCGCCGAATGGTGCTCCAGCACGGCCTCGTCCCCGACAGCCTGGCGAAACACGCCAGCCGTCTGGTCGATGATGGAGGTGAAGGGGATCGCATAGATCACGCGATCGAGACCGTGCTCGATCGCGTGGTCCAGGGCGAAAGCCAGCGAGGCGAGCGTCTTGCCGCCGCCGGTCGGTACCGTCAGCGAAAACAGTCCGGGTTCGCGACCGGCTTGGGCCCGCACATGCGCCAGAATCGTCGCGCGATGCCGGTCGATCTGCCCAGCGCCGCCGGACAGACCGCGAAGATGCGCATCCAGGCGGTCTCGAAGCGCGCTCAGCGGCAGGTCGATGTCGCGCTCGACCGGCCGACCCTGCGCCGACGCGAAGAAAGCCTCGGTGTCGCGAAAGTCGGCGTCGACCAGGCAGGAAAACAGGAAGCGGCCGAGCATCGAGAGCTGGAACGCCAGGCGCCGGGGGTCCCCCCGGTGCCAATCGAAGTCTTCGGGCATCAGCGAGGTGGGCAGCGGCCCGAGCTCGTTTCGCCAGAGGGCGTCGAGGGTCGACGGCGGTGCGCCGAGGCGAGCCTCCAGCGTGCCACCGGCGTCGCCCCGACGATCCGGCATCCCGGCGTGATGGCCGGCGATCGCATGAGCCAGCAGCTCGGCGAGATGGACCTCCGCCCGATCGGCGGCGGCAAGCACTTCCCGGGCCCCCGCCGTCGAGTGCTCGACGGGTCCGCCGCCCTCGAGCCGGCGCTGGAAAGCCTCCGTATACTTGCCGAGATCGTGCAATAGCCCCGCGCAGGCCGCAGCTTCCGCCGCTCCGAACTTCCGGCCCCGGGCGGCGGCAAGCCGTGCGGTTTCGCGCAGATGCACACGAAGCGGATGCCAACCGTGCTTGCCGCAGCTTTCCAGCGAGTGCGCGTAATAGGCTGGCATGTCCACACCCATGACCAGAAAAGCTAATCCGCAAAACGTGCGGAGGCAATCGACTCACGGCCTGCGGTTGCTGATGTCACTCCGGCTGTCTTGGTGACCTGCTCCCTTCAACCGATCTTGTTTGCCCCCTGCGTGCCGAACTCCGGTGAGCGATCCGATCGTCACGGTTGTCTGCCGCAGCTTTCAGCGTGCGAAGCTGCGTGTTGACGTCGGATGGTGCCATGGTGCGGTCTCCATCTTCGCCGCCGCTGCGAGTTCGGCCGCTGCCCCGACCGAACCAGTTGCGTCGCGCGCTGCGTCGGCGAGGTGCGTCCATTCCGCTTTGACGCTGACACGCTCCGAATGGCCGTGGGCGGCGCGCAGGTCGTGGCACGTCCGCTCCCAGGCGGAGCGCCATGCATACAGCTCTCGCCTCTCGTCCCAGGCTTGATTCTTGGTCCCGAAGCGGTTGGGCTCAGGCGGGCTTGCGGTCGGCGAAGCGCAGGGTGTCGGCGGCTCGCTGCGCGCCTCGCCGTCCTTTTCCCAGCGGGTCTCGCAGATGTCGCCGCGGATCGCCAGGTCGCGACCCTCGGCCAGCGCCCCGCCGCCGTGGCTACCCGCAAATTCGATGGATTGAGGGGTCGCTTCGGCGACGGAATTGCCAAAGAGCCCGGCGTTGGCGCCCGGGCTTTTTGCTGTCTCCAAGGTCTTGCTGAACCGCTGGCCCGGCGCATCCCCCAAGTCAGGCCACTTGCTCCGAATCACTCGCAAGAGTAGAATTCGTGCCGTGATTCCTCTTGGGCGGGAAAGTGGTGGAGCCGAGGGGAGTCGAACCCCTGACCTCAGCAGTGCGATTGCTGCGCTCTCCCAACTGAGCTACGGCCCCGACCGGGTCCACAGGGGCGCGCCGCCGTCGCACGCCGTCATGGGCGGTGCCCCTGTCGAGGCGGCGGATATTGGGTACCGACCGCCCCCTTGTCAATACGGCAGTCACGAAGCCGGGCGAAACCGCCGCCGAAGCCGCGCGCCGGCCTTGCCATTTCGCCGCGCGGTCCGCACATCTAGCGGCATTCGGGGCGGCCCGGCGGGCGCGCCCCGGACGACGGCCGGCGAGAGGCCGGGCGCGCCGCGGCGCTTGCCTTCGACCGGCCGGCCGTCGGACTATGCCCGCCCGCGATCATTCACCGGGATTCGGCCCAGCGGCCGCCCGGGAGCCCAGTGACCAAGGAGCCGCCGGGAAGCCCATGTCCGCCCTGCTTTGGCTGTTCAACCAGATCGTCCAGATCTACCTGATCTTCGTGTTCGCCGCGGTCATCCTGTCGTGGCTGATCGCGTTCAACGTGGCCAACCCCTACAACCAGTTCGTCTACACCATCCGCGACTTCCTGGCGCGGATCACCGAGCCGCTGCTGCAGCCGATCCGGCGCATCCTGCCCGACCTGGGGGGCATCGACCTCTCGCCGCTGGTGCTGATCATCGGCATCATCTTCATCCAGCGCCTGGTCAACGAAGCCTTCATGCCGCTCGCCTACGGCATGTGAACGCCGTGAGCTCGCCCTTCCGGCTGGAGCCGGGCGGGCTGACGGTCCGCCTGCGGGTCACGCCCAACGCCCGGCGCGCCGGCGTCGAGGGGATCGAGCGGCTGGCCGACGGCCAGGCCGTGGTGCGGGTCAAGGTCGCCGCCCCGCCGGAGGACGGCCGGGCCAACGCCGCGGTGATCGCCCTGCTGGCCAAGCGCTGGCGCCTGCCCCGGCGCGACCTGACGATCGTCGCCGGCCAGACCGGGCGCCTGAAGACCCTGCGCATCGCCGAGGGCGACGCCGCGCTGCAAGCGCGTGTCGCCGACATGCTGGACGCCGGGGCGCGATAGGGCGTAAGTCGCGGACCGCGATCCCCTTTTTCCAGCGGCATAGGACAACCGAATGACGGCGGACATCATCGACGGCAAGGCCTTCGCGGCCGACCTGCGCGAACGCCTCGCGCGCGAGGTCGCGCGTCTGGCCGAGGACGGCCTGCAGCCGGGACTGGCGGTGGTGCTGGTCGGCGAGAACCCGGCCAGCCAGGTCTACGTGCGCAACAAGGCCAGGCAGACCGCCGAGGTGGGGATGCGCAGCTTCGAGCATCGCCTCGACGCGTCCACCGGCCAGGACGAGCTGCTGGCGCTGGTCGAGCGGCTCAACCGCGACCCCGCGGTGCACGGCATCCTGGTGCAGCTGCCGCTGCCCGAGCAGATCGACGCGGCGGCGGTGATCAACGCCATCGACCCGGCCAAGGACGTCGACGGCTTCCACGTGATCAACGCCGGCCGCCTGGCCACGGGCCAGGACGCACTGGTGCCCTGCACGCCGCTCGGCTGCCTGATGCTGCTGCGCGACCGCCTGGGCGACCTCTCCGGCCAGCGCGCGGTGGTGCTCGGCCGCTCGAACATCGTCGGCAAGCCGATGGCGCAGCTCCTGCTCGCCGCCAACTGCACCGTCACCCTGGCCCACTCGCGCACCCGCGACCTGCCGGCGGTCTGTCGCGAGGGCGACATCCTGGTGGCCGCCGTGGGCCGCCCGCATATGGTCGGCGCCGACTGGGTCAAGCCGGGCGCGACGGTGATCGACGTCGGAATCAACCGCCTGCCGCCGGAGGAGCCGGGCGGCAAGGGCAAGCTGGTCGGCGACGTCGACTTCGCCGCGGTGCGCGAGGTCGCCGGCGCGATCACGCCGGTGCCCGGCGGCGTCGGGCCCATGACCATCGCCTGCCTGCTGGTCAACACCGTGACCGCCGCCTGCCGCGCCAGCGGCCGCCCGGCGCCCGCGCTGCTGTAGCGGGGTTGGCGAGCGCCTGAACTGGCTTCGGCGAGTCCGCCGGTCACACCCTGCGCTCGGCCCGGCCGGCGGTTCAGCCGAGCTCGGCCGCGGTGGCGGTCACCTCGGCCTGGTGCACCGCGGCCTTGACGGTCATCTCGATCGACACGGCCATGATCTGCGCCGCGGTCGCGTCGCCGCCGGCGGCCAGGGGCGCGCAGATCGCCTGCACCGCCGCGTTGATCGCCTGGATGACGCCGTTGTAGGCGCCCGCCGCGGCCACCGCCTGGGCGCCGGACAGCGCGGCGCTGGCCTGGTACTCCGCCCTGGCGGCGGCGCCGCCGGCCTGGGACTCCACGATCGGCACCATCGCCCGCAAAGGCGGCGGGTCGCTGGTCGCCGGCAGGGCCAGCGGCAGGGAAACGCCATCGAGCGAAAGGTTCACAGCGGCCCTCGCGTTACCGTCTAGGGGTCGACGGTCAGTCTGCCCGCACGGCGGCCGGATGGCAAAGCCCGGCCGCGGCAGCCGACCTGTCCCGGCTGCAACCCAGGCGTGACCGGGACAATCGCGGACTTGCGGCAGCCGGGCAAAGCGGCTAGAGCGGACCTCGACCCGTTGGATGCGGACCGGCCTGGCGCGGTCGTCGGTGCGGCACCGCGCGGCCCGCCTCGTCGCGCGAGACGGCCGCCGCCCGGTCCATATTCCGGCCGCATCCGGCCCGCATCGCAGCCGAGCGAATAGATGCCCGACACCAACCTGCCCGCCGCCGCCCCGTTGCCCCTGCGCCCCGAGGTGGAGACCCTGGAGGAGTCGCGCATCGTCGAGGTCTGGAAGCTGGGCTTCGGCCGCGACGACGTGATCGGCCTGTGGGTCGGCGAGGGCGACCTGCCGACCCCCGACTTCATCAGCGACCCAGCGATCGCCGCGCTCAAGGCGGGCCAGACCTTCTATTCCCGGAAGCGGGGCCTGCCGGCGATGCGCCGGGCCCTGGCCGACTACTCGGCGGCGCTCTACGGCGCCCGGCCGGACGAGGAGCGGGTCACCCTGACCCAGAGCGGCATGAACGCCATGGTCGTGGTCCTGCAGGCCTTCCTGCGGCCGGGCGACAAGGTGGCGATCGTCAGCCCGATCTGGCCCAACATCGTCTCGGCCGTGCGCCTGATGGGCGGCGAGCCGGTGCAGCTCGCGCTCGACCACGGCCCCGACGGCGGCTTCCGGCTCGACCTCGACAAGCTGGAGGACCTGCTGAAGAGCGGCGTCCGCGCGCTCTTCGTCGCCACGCCCAGCAACCCCACCGGCTGGATGCTGGACGAGGCGGGCATCGCCGAGGTGCTGAGCCTGACGCGCAAGTACGGCGTCTGGCTGATGGCCGACGAGGTCTACAACCGCTTCACCTACGCGCGGCCCTTCGCCCCCTCCTTCCTGTCCCAGGCGCAGCCCGACGAGCCGGTGATCGCGGTCAACTCCTTCTCGAAGGCCTGGGCCATGACCGGCTGGCGGCTCGGTTGGGTGGTGCACCCGCCGGCGCTGGGCCCGGTGCTCGACAAGATCATCGAGTTCAACACCTCCGGCGCACAGTCCTTCCTGCAGTACGGCGCGATCGCCGCGCTGGAGCAGGGCGAGCCCTTCGTCGCGGAGATGGTCGCGCGCTGCCGGCGCGGCCGCGACCTGGTCTACCAGGGCCTGGCCGATCTGCCGCGGGTGACCCTGGCCAACCCGCCGGGCGCCTTCTACAGCTTCTTCAAGGTCGACGGCGTCACCGATTCCCTGGCCTTCGCCAAGCGCCTGGTGCACGAAGCCGGCGTCGGCCTGGCCCCCGGCTCCGCCTTCGGGCCGGGCGGCGAGGGGCACCTGCGCCTCTGCTTCGCCAGCTCGGAGGGGCGGATCGGCGAAGCTTTGGACCGATTGCGACCGCTTCTGTCGTAACCACGACATTTACTCGAAAGCCATGAAGAAAGACTTTGCGGACCCCTGCAAAGGCTGCATAAGCGCTGCGTAAAAGCGGCATTGGCGCCGCGCGACCGAGGCGAATACCTGCTGAATAACAGCCGCTGCCGACGCATCGGAGCGCTTTGCAGGAGCCTTAATCGATGGCCAATTCAGCTTTCGTCGCCGACTTCACCATTCCCGGCCTCGGCGCCAGCGACCTGGTGCGCCGCGCGGCCGTTCACCTGGGCGACGGGCTCGGCAACCTCGGCTCGACGCTGCGCGCCGAGATCGCCGCGGCTCGCCAGGAGCACCGCCTGCAGCGCGACCTGTTGGGGCTGGGCGCCGCGACCCTGAGCGACATCGGGCTCGACCGCGATCACGTCTGAGCCAGCCGGGGGCGGTCGGTCGGATATCGCGGCGCCCTGGGCGATGGCGCCGCGTCTCGCCGGGGCATGGCGCCGAAGCGCGCCGCGCGCACCCGCCGGCCGTGGCGTCTCAGGCGGATCTCAGGACGCCAGGCGGGTGCGCACCACGCCGTCGAGGCAGGAGGCCACCGGCGTGCGGGCGGCCGCGTCGTCGCGCGCCTCCAGGTGGATCACCTGCTTGCCGTCGGTGCGCACCGCGTAGAGGAAGACATCCAGCACGCAGCCCTGGCCGCGGTATTGCCAGATCTCGGCCGGGCGCTCGCGCCGTTGCAGTTCGGGCCGCCCGAGGGTCGCCAGCAGACGCGCGGGCGCAGCGCCGATCAAGGCGTCCGGCGTCTGAGCCGCGCTCCCCGGAGCGCCGGTTGTCCGGGCACCCGGCATTTGGCCAGGCGCGACGGCGAGTGTGCTCATCGTGCCGCTGGCAACCGGCGCCCGCGCCGTCCCGGCGCCCGGGCGCTCGGTCGCGCAGCCGGCGAGCAGCAGGCCAAGTCCGAGGCCCAGCCCCAGGACCAGTCCCGTCTTCGCCGGCGTCGCCCCGGCCTTCGGCCAGCGCCCGTTGCCCGTCCCAATCCCGCGTCGCGCCATGTCTCGCCCCCCGAGGGACCTCGCCCTCTCTTCACCCCCGGCGCAGCCGGTCCCCAGCCCGGACCGGGCGCCTTGCACCTGCGTTCCGCCCGCGCGCTCGCCCCCGCGGCCCCCCCGGCAGAATCGGCCGGCGGCCTCGGCGACGCGGAGCGGTCTCAGCCGGCCGCGTTGCCCGCCGCACCGCCGGCGGGGGTGCCGGCCGCGCCGCCGGCCTTGGCCTCTTCCTGACCGTTGCCGAACATCGGCATGTCGGTCTCGGTCTCCGCCGCCTTGGCCGAGGCGGCCGTCTGGCTGGCCCGCAGCGGCTCGCCGCTGTGGGAGATCTCCTCGATCGAGCCCTTCACTCGGCCGCCGCGCTCGATCTCCAACTCGGCATAGCGCAGGGAGCCCTTGACCTGGCCGGTGGCATGCAGGATCAGCCGCTCGCGCACCGTCAGCTCGCCGTCGAAGGTGCCGCTCACCTCGGCGACGTCGACCTCGGCGCGGCCCTTGAACAGGCCGCTCTCGGCGATCTCGAGCATCTGGGCGTCGGCCAGATCGGCCTCGACCTCGCCCTCGACCACCAGCTTGTCGCAGGCGGTGATCTCGCCGGCCAGGCGGATGTCGCGCCCGACGATCAGCTTCTTCATCTCGCCGTCGCCACCGGGCGCCGCGGCCGGCTTGCGCGCCTGGGCGGCGCCGCCCGCCTGGTAGTTGGCCGGGCGCACCGGCGGCTGCGGCTGGCGTTCCAGCACGGCGGAGGCGTCAGGCTTGCTGGCCCGGGCCGGGGCGCGGCCGGCGCCGCCCTCGGGTTCGCCGGACTGGGGCGTATCGGGTTTGCGCTTACCGAACATGACGGGTCCTTTCGCGTCAGGCGGTGGTGGGGGGCGAGGAGCCCGGGCCCTTGCGGCGCAGCCCCTCGAAGACGTGCAGCATGAAGGCCGCGGCCACCAGCGGCACGATGATGTTGAAGATCGGAATCCACATCAGCAACGCGATCACCAACCCGGCGAAGAAAACCTTGCCGCCATTGCGGCGCCGCAAGTCGCGCATCTCGCTCGCCCCGGTCCGGCGCACGGCGATCATTTCGAAGTACTCGCGACCGAGAAGGTAACCGTTAAGACCGAAAAAGACAAAAGGCGCGACCGGGGCCGCGAAGAGATAGAGCGGCAGCACCAGGAGGTTCAGCCCCACGGTGATCGCCAGCAGCTTCAGGCCGTCGCCGATCGCCTCGCCGAGCGGCTGCTCGCGCGCCGGCGGCAGGCTCGGGTAGTGACGCGCCTCCACGGCCTGGCAGACCTTGTCGATGAACAAGCCGCTGAGGATGCCGGAGGCGACGCCGGGAAAGAGGATCGCCGAGGCGAAGAGCAGCGCGACGAAGCCGCCCAGGCCGACCAGCCAGTCGAGCAGGCCGGCCCAGAAGCCGTCGGCGCCCAGCCAGGCCTGCAGCCCCTCCGCGCCGGCCGCCAGGCCCCAGGCCGCCAGCCCCCAGAGCAGGGCCAGCACGCCGGTCGACATGGCCAGGGTGATCCAGATGACCCGCCGCGACGCGGGGTCGGTCAACTGCCCGAAAGCCTTGTTCAGTGCGGAGATCATGAGATGGGGTGTTACCCCGAGGCACCGTGTCCCTCAAAGAGGCAATTTCTGGGCGAGATCGGGCGCGGACGCGGCGCAATCCCGGGGCCGGAGGCGGCGGCCCGGAGGGCGCGGGCCGACCGCGCAGCCGCGCCGGGGCCGGATGACCCCGGCAAGCCCACTGGACCTGGAGGGCGCCCTCGGGTAGGGATGGCGCCGCAGCGCACAACATAATCGATGGATGGACCAAGCATGACCGCAGCCGAGCTGGATGTGGTGGGCATCGGCAATGCCATTGTCGACGTGCTGACCCACGCCGAGGACAGCTTCCTGGAGGCCCACGGCCTCAACAAGGGCACCATGACCCTGATCGACACCGAGCAGGCCGAGGCGCTCTACGCCGCCATGGGCCCCGGCGTCGAGGTCTCCGGCGGCTCCGCCGCCAACACCATGGCGGGCCTCGCCTCCCTGGGCGGCGCCGGCGGCTTCATCGGCAAGGTGCGCAACGACCAGCTCGGCGGCATCTTCGCCCACGACATCCGCGCCGGCGGCACCACCTTCCGCGCCGAGCCGGCCACCGACGGCCCGCCGACGGCGCGCTGCCTGATCTTCGTCACCCCCGACGCGCAGCGCACCATGGCGACCTTCCTGGGCGTCTCCGTGCAGTTCGGGCCCGCCGACCTGGACCTGGACCTGGTGCGCAAGGCCAAGGTCACCTACCTGGAGGGCTACCTCTGGGACGCCGAGCCGGCCAAGAAGGCCTTCCTGGAGGCCGCCAAGGCGGCCCACGACGCCGGCCGCAAGGTGGCGCTCAGCCTGTCCGACCCCTTCTGCGTCGAGCGTCACCGCGCCGCCTTCCGCCAGCTCATCGAGGGGCATGTCGACATCCTCTTCGCCAACGAGGCGGAGATCACCAGCCTGTTCGAGGTGGCGGACTTCGACGCCGCCCTGCAGCAGGCGCGCGGCCACTGCGAGATCGCGGCCCTGACCCGCAGCGAGCACGGCTCGCTGGTGCTCTCCGGCGAGGAGGTGCATCTGGTCGACCCGATCACCAACGGCGCGGTGGTCGACACCACCGGCGCCGGCGACGCCTATGCCGCCGGCTTCCTCTACGGCTACACCCGCGGCCACAGCCTGTATCACTGCGGCCAGCTCGGCTCCCTTTGCGCGGGCGAGGTGATTTCCCATATGGGGCCCCGGCCCGAGTGCTCGCTGAAGCAGCTCGCGGCCGACAAACTGAACCTTTCGTGAGAACTCCATCGTGACAGACCTCCAGGCCCGCCGCGGCCACACTGCTGGTGGCCAGGCCAACGCGGGCTTGCGCAACCTGGCGATCATCGCCCACGTCGACCATGGCAAGACCACCATGGTCGATCAGCTCCTGCGCCAGTCGGGCACCTTTCGCGAAGGCCAGCAGGTGGCCGAGCGGGCCATGGATTCCAACGATCTGGAGCGCGAACGCGGGATCACCATCCTGGCCAAGTGCACCTCGGTGGCCTGGGGCGAGCTGCGGCTGAACATCGTGGACACGCCCGGCCACGCCGACTTCGGCGGCGAGGTCGAGCGCGTCCTCCGCATGGCCGACGGCTGCCTCCTCCTCGTCGACGCCGCCGAGGGCCCCATGCCCCAGACCCGCTTCGTCCTCTCCAAGGCCATCGAAGCCGGCCTCGAGCCCCTCGTCGTCATCAACAAGTGCGACAAGCCCGACGCCCGCGTCGACGAGGTCCACCACGAAGTCTTCGACCTCCTCGTCGACCTCGGCGCTGACGATCACGCCCTGGACTTCCCCGTCGTCTACGCCGCCGCCCGCGACGGCTGGGCCACGACCGACCTCAGCAACAGGACCACCGACCTCCGCGCCGTCTTCGAGGCCATCGTCGAGCACGTCCCCGCCGCACCGGGTGACCCGAACGCCCCCCTCCAGATGCTCGTCACCACACTCGACTACTCCGACTACGTCGGACGCATCGGCATCGGACGCGTCTTCGAGGGCACCATCAAAGTCGGCCAGCCCGTCACCGTCATCGAGCGCGACGGCTCATCCCGCACCGCGAAGATCGGCACCCTCAAAGGCTTCGCCGGCCTCTCCCGCGTCGACGCCAAAGAAGTCCGCGCCGGCGACATCTGCGCCATCACCGGCGTCGAGGACATCGACATCGGCCAGACCATCGCCTCCATCGACGCACCCAAGGCCCTGCCCACCGTCGCCATCGACGAGCCCACCCTCACCATGGTCTTCCGCATCAACGACTCACCCTTCGCCGGCCAGGTCGGCAAGTACGTCACCTCCCGCCAGCTCCGCGACCGCCTCGAAAAAGAAGCCGAGACCGACGTCGCCCTCCGCTTCGACATCGGCGACTCCGGCGAAGAGTTCGTCGTCTCCGGTCGCGGCCTCCTCCACCTGGGCATCCTCATCGAGAACATGCGCCGCGAGGGCTACGAGCTCGCCGTCGGCAAGCCCCACGTCGTCCTTAAGGAGATCGACGGCAAGGTCCACGAGCCCATCGAACGCCTCGCCATCGAAACACCCGACGACGCCATGGGCGCCGTCATGGAGATGATCGGCTCCCGCAAGGGCGAGATCATCTCCGTCGAACCCCGCACCGGCGGACGCACACTCATCCGCTCCAACATCCCCGCCCGCGGCCTCATCGGCCTCCGCGGACGCGTCCTCACCGCAAGCGCGGGCGAGGCCGTCATGTCACACTCCTTCGACAGCTTCCAGCCCATGACCGGCGACGTCCCGGGCCGACCCCAGGGCGTCCTCATCTCCATCGACACCGGCGCCGTCACCGCCTACTCCATCGACGCCCTCAACGACCGAGGCGTCCTCTTCGTCAAGCCCAACGAAAAGGTCTACGCCGGCCAGATCATCGGCGAGCACAACCGCGACAACGACCTCACCGTCAACATCACCCGCGCCAAGCAGATGACCAACTTCCGCGAGGCCAACAAAGAAGCCTTCACCAAGCTCAAGCCCGCCCGAGACATGCCCCTCGAGCGCTGCCTCGAGTACGTCGAGGAAGATGAGCTCGTCGAGATCACCCCCGAAGCCGTCCGCCTCCGCAAACGACTCCTCAACGAGTCCGACCGCAAACGCACCGCCCGCCAAGCCAAGCAACTCGCGCAGTAGCAACCGCGACCGTGAGGGAGCGGACGACGCCCCGCCAACCAGCACCTCATAGCTACCCCGAACGCCAGTGAGGGGACCGAAACATCCCATTGTTTCACGCACAGTTCCCATCCTCACCAGCCGCATGAACAACCGCGACAGACATGGAGCGGATCTCGAATGACACGGCGAAGCCGCCTCCCCGTAACAACCGCGAGCGGAAGCGAGCCGGACCAAAGGTCGCTCAACCCGCAGCACAGCCCCGCACACTGAACAGCACCTTCTCCCCTCGCGGGAGAAGATGTCTGCGAGCGCAGCGACGCAGACAGTTGAGGGGACCAATTCAAACCGCCGCGCAGCGGCGATCCTTTGCTAGTGCCTAGTGCCTAGTGCCTAGT